ACAGAAAGACTTTGAAGTCTTCTGCCATCCGCCTAATTATCGGCACCAGTCAATGTACAGCCATTTAATTACAGTAAATGAAAAGGAATGCGGGGTTGGGGAGAAAAAGAGGAGAGGGGAGGAAGGGGAGGCAGACATTCCAGACGCTGCCCATTACCGGGTCCTTTGCTGAAGGAGAGCTCGCCTCCCTGTCAGCTTGTCAAATGTACAAACCCTTGCACGGCCATGCAATAGAGGGGACCTGGCATGGGCCAGGACTCTGCAGGCCTTCACCCTGCTGCCCTGACAACATGGTCATAACCAGCCTGGAAGCAGAGTAGCACCGCCCCCACCCCCCAAAAAACACACACATACACACATACACACAGACCAGGCTCAGAGAAGCACACAGCTCTTTGGAACGCCCTCCACCCAGGCCTGGCGGGGACTGTGTCTGTCCAAACTCTAGATCTACTGGTCTGTTTTCTCTTGTTTTCACCCTTCTGGAAACTGGAGTCCTGGAAGATTAAGTTGGTCATCCAGGTGAGAGATAGCAAAACGCCAATGGTTGGCTCGTCCAAGACCATCTATCTCCTTTCCTGCCCACCCCAAGGTGGTGAATCAAGAGACAGTGGCGTGGTTAAGGCCTCCTGGTTAGTCTACTATCAGTGGGCATTGTTTTCCAAGGGGTGCTAGGTAGTCACAGAGACAGGTGTGAGAATGGTGTACCTCGTAGAACAGGTACAATTCAACCAAGTTGGTACAAGTTACCAAGTAGGAGGCAGAGAATGGAGAAGTTAGGAACGGGAATAATAGGTAACCCCAGGGCGGAGCACCTTGGGCCTGACAGGAGTGAACTGGAATCCAGACTGGGGTGAGTCCATATTCAGCCTCTCCTTGGGCTCCCACACTTGTAGGATGATAAAGGAGAATCTAGGCTCAGGGATGCTGGGAGTGGGAGGGACAGTCTACACTGTCAACATGCACAAACCAACCATCTTAAAGGGTTTGGCATGGTGGCACTTTTAAAAGTAGAGGGGGAAGGCGTCCTTTGTTTCAAGAGATCTTTGGGATTGAGATCAGATGCTTGTAAAAGTGGAAAGCAAATCCAGGCAACGGTCGCGAAGCAATCCATCAGAGACGGGAAACAGCCCTCCAGGTCCCAAGCCTCACCAGTGATCTGGCTTTGATTGGGGGTGTCTCATTGATGTGGCAAACTCTCCACAGCCCACTAGAAGCTCTGCAGACCCGGTCACTGCCCTTCCATGATCTGCTCTGGCGTCAGGCAGCTGACTTAGGACCACAGAGACCAAGGGGGGATGACAGCAATCAATACCTACCAAGAAAGGACTTCCCCAGGTCCAGAATTTGCAAGAAGATTAACATTTGAGATTGCATATGAAATACTGTAGACGGAACAACTCTCCCCCTCCCCCACAACATGCTTTTTCCACTTCAAATCCCCATGGTCAGTAAAAATGGGGGTAGGTAGAAAATACAGTTTATCACTTGTTTGGCATCTCCCTTAATGTGGAGACATGTGATGGGGTCCGAATGTTCTTTTCCTCTCCTGAGAATATCAGACCATCAAAATGTCATTAGCCTCACGGGTGTCCTAGCTCCTTCTTAACTTGAACTGTTGGCCTCTTTATCAATAAATAAATGAAACCTAATCCCCTTTAATAGCTAAACTCTACTTTGAAGTTCTAGCACATCAGGCATTCTACTTGCATAATTTACCTAGGTTGAATAACATTTTTCCCCCCTAGGGGAAAACGGCTCTTATTCACAGTTAATTCAAATAATGGAAAGAGTCAAGGAAAACTCCCAGGCTAAACCAGAAGAAAGCAAGTTTTGTTTGTGGCTCCTAAATTAGGTCTGTTTTGGTGACTTAGGTTACTTAAATTCTTTTTGTTTTGACCTATAAGGGATAAAATAGAGCTCCCATAGATACATCTCAAACTAGAACCAAAGGGAATTGTCTTCAACTGCAAAAATAATGGACATCCAAAAAGAAATTTATAAAACATAACTGGAAAACAAATGATCTTTCAAGGTTAGCACAATAAAGAAAACCTGGATTCAATTATTTTTGCGATTTGACGTTAGAAATATTTGACTAGAAGTAGCAATAATTGCAAAAATATACAACAGTTTTGAGATACTTTATTGTAAACATGTTCGAACACCAGGTATGTGATTATAAATTTTGGTCTGGTTTACTTCGGGAAATAGGGAACAATAGGTTTTGGGGTAGCTTTTTTTTTTTTTAAATATCAGAAGAAAGCAATAATCTTTTTTTTTTAATTACATGATGCAAAACTCTGAAATCTGCTATGTACCTTCCAAATGAATCTCCCCAGTTCTCACTGTCATCAATTTAGTTTCTATAGAACCCTTCTCCTTCTCAGCTAAACATTAACAACTCAGAAATCAATCAGGTATGTCCCTCTGGCCATAGTATAGTAGTTATGAAATATCCTGTATTCTTGTAGATGTCCCACCAATTTTATATCTTCTTATGATCTGTCACCCACAGCAGTACTAAGGGCTTATTCATGGCTCTGTGCTCAGGGCTTACTCCTGGCATGGTGCTGGGAATCGAACCTGGGACAGTTGTGCGCAATGCAAATGCTTTACCTGCTGTATTATCTCTCTAGCCCCTTATTAAATCTTTTCCTAAGCTGACTTCACTGGGAGTTCCTAGACCATCAAAATTGTTTCAAAAAATAACCAGAGCCAAATCTTGGGGAAAGAGTAAACAGAAGTTTAAGTCATCAATTTGCCCAGCTCAACAAACATTGTTTTTGACACTTTATCCTCTTCACTTGGCTGCTCTGTTTACTCTCAACAAATGCTACCAAATGTTCTGAATTTGAGGCAAAGCCCTTTCACCCTCTTCCTGTCTCCCTTCATTTTGCTTTGCAACCACCAGTTTGGAGAAAGGTAAGAAAAATCTGCCACTTTCCTTGCTTAGACAATACTTAGGACAGGCCTTGGCAGTTCCGAGAGAACAAGCTCATCATTATCCAGGCAGACAAAAGAGGGCTGTGAGGTAGGAGATACACACACCTCACGCCCTGCTCTTTGCTATCATGGTGATATAGTAGATCATTATTAGAAGGTTACTAAGTTAGAAGCTTTGTATTTTCTGGGAAGAAGAAGAAATGGCAGGCATACACTGTGAGACAGAATTGCCAGATAGAGCATCTTAAAAAAATAATGACGATTAACTTTTATTGTGCCAGTAGAGATGCATGATGAAAATACATTTGTTTCAGAGAGAGAGATGCTACAAAGGTTTTTGCCTGAGCAAGGCAGACTGACTCGAGATATGGATATGGACAATCTATGAGCAGATCAGCAGCAGCGAACTTCTCTCTTTCCTTTCACTAACCATCAGAAATGATATCCTATCTCGAAGCAAAATAAAATGCCAAACGCTACATCAGTATATGACCATGGAATGTGCCATTACTCAGTGTTATGCAGAGACGCGGATGGATGGATGGATGAGAAGCCAAGTTTATGCCCAGCCGCCTGTACTTAAGGTTAATGATTCCTGAATTCACAATGAAAATAGATATAAACACACGTTTTACTGAGCTGAATGGATCAGCTCAAGTGAAGCTGGCAGCCAGATTCTAATCTTTTGTCCCGAAGAAGGTCTTTGTTTCTCGTTTGGGGCTGTATTACAGCTCGCCTCCTCCAAATCCGACCCTTCCAAAACAAACATAGGGAGTGCTGATTATTAATTAGTCTCCACTCTGGCTCCATGCATTGGAATGTCCTATCTCAAACACTGCTTTTATTGATTTGAAGCTGGCGTTAGCATGCACAGGAGGAAATGGCCAATACTAGGCCATGGGAAGAGAAGCTCTACATGCCACTTCATTTTGGCCCATGGCTGAAATGGAAAACAAACCTTAAACTGGCTTTCCTGTTACAAAGCAAAAGCTGACAAAGTTGCTCAATAAATAACAGAAATGAAATCTTATCAGTAAAGCAACCATCTTTCTTTTCAAAGGCCATGCAATTCTCCCATTTTAATTTTCTCGTTGTATTTTGATGCATCGTGTACACATGGCATTAATAATGAGATGAAAGTAGCAAGCGTACTGTTAATATTACATGCTGAAGGAGAAATGTGTTTTCATTGTCTGGCACGCTGGTACTGATGCTCCAATTTTTCCTAGAAGCAACACTGACTAAAAATTAAGTTTTCTTTTAAATCTATTATTGCATATAAAGGAACTGGGTTTTTTAAATTATTATCTTGAACTAGCAATAGATGGGGGGAGCCTTAATAATGTATAAAAACATTTTTCTTACCGTACGAACTGCTGCTATTTGGATATGCTAAAATCTCATTTTTGTGTGCATGCACTTAATTGCATAATAATCCAGTCCCCAAAGCACATCAAAGACCCTGCTCCTTCCCCCTCCCCTTTTGACCAAGATTTCAATTGCTCTCATCAACTCGTAAGTTTAAAGCAGGATCAAATTTGTTCTTCAATCACCAGAGCCCTGGTAATGAACTATTCTGTGTACTCACTCTTCCATTCTCAGATTCTGCAACTTCTTTGAGGTATCTTCAAGTAAAATCTACAAAGACATCTTTGATTGCAAGCTGCCTCAGAGGTGCCCGTTATCACCATTCGCTTGATGACATCACACAGGCAAACAGGCAACACAATCCAAGATACAGCTCTTTTCTTAGGGGGAAGGGGAGGTGTGCCATAGATGGTTATATTTTTTCCAGTCCACGGCAAATACATCATAAACCACTTGCGTCATTTAGCCATCTGAGATCCAATATTGATTCTTGTCCCCCTTCCCCTAAGGTATGTGTGTGGGGGGGTTGAATTAAAAAGCAAGATCCAAGGACATTCATTTTTTGAGCTGGACTCTGTGACAACCCCAAGAAGAAGGAGCAGGAAGGAGAGAAAGAAGGAGGGGAAGGTAGAACAGGCCACCAGAACCCGGCGGGGGAACCAAGTGGCACTTAAAGCGGGACTTACCGTTGTCACTGTCGGACTTGTTCTCATGCTCTGTGTCCGTCAGTGTGAGGGCTGAGTTGGAGCGACTGGAGAGGCAGGAGCTGCGGCCCGATTTGACCCCTCTGCCCCACAGTCTCATGGCATGCTCTGGGGACATCACTGCTTCATTTTCAGTATCAGCGTCTGACCCTGCGCTGATAGAGTAACCTCTGTGGGGGAGCCCCATTTCCGCACAAAAGGCCAGTCCTCTTCGACTTGCTGGTTCACACACTCCTAACTGCCTTAGGGTAAAATTCTGTCCTAATTAGGGGGAGAAAATATAACAGCTAGTGAGTATAGGCGGTGTAGAGGCAGACTTCACGTATTAATTAATTAATTAATCAATTATCTTCTTAAAAAAAAAGAAAGAGAGAGGCTCTCTCCAAAGCAAACAACAGTCAATCATTCTGGAGTTTTCCATGAGGCACTGCTGGTATGGGGCAGGTGGCGGGAAGGCATTCTGGAAAGTGGGGGAGGAACTCACCCATGGCTTTCTGTCCACCCTCCACTACTCAGGACTCCCCTGTCCACAGTTCAAGCTCAGTGACCCCACCAGAAAGATGGGCAGTCCCGGGAACACCAGCCCAGAGGAAGTTCTTGCTCTTCCATGCTGGTTAGTTCACTTGTGTGAGCTGTGGGCCTGGCCATGGTTTTCTGCATCCAGGCTCTAGTCCCTGGGGTCCAAGGCCCCATGCAGAGGTCATTTTTGGGGAAAGGAAACAGGTGTTCCTCAAGACTTGGGAACTAGACTCATCAGCTGGTTGACTGACCTGGACTGTAGCCTTGGCCCTTAACAAGACATGGCAGAAGGATGTAGCTGGGTGTCTGGAGCTGTGTGTGTGTGTGTGTGTGTGTGTGTGTGTGTGTGTGTGTGTGTGTGTATGTATGTGTTTGCACACACACCAACTCAATTTTGGAGCAGACCTTTGCAGTCATTTGTCTTTCTACACCTCAGGCTTCAGTAAACACCTGGAAATATATCTGTATTGATCAATGTAAACCAGTTTTTTTGGGGGGGGGGGACGTGGTCAAATAAAGTGTACTCTAAAAATAAAGTGGGAGTACTATGTATTTAAAAATTAATGATAAAATCCAAGCCCCTGAAAAATAAATGGCTATGACCCCCTCAAGGCTTCCCTAATAAATTGAGCATAATAAAACTCATGGCACTATAATCACTTAAAGCCAAGTGTTTAAATTAGGTGACACTTGAAAATGACTGCAGTTATGAATGACTCATCTGCTCCCATATTTATTCCTGAGATTTCACATGTTTTATTATATTGTGGATGAGCAGAGTAAAATGTTTGCATGGGAATCTGTGGTTTGATCTTTCTGCCTCTTGTGGACATGGTAGAGCCTGAGATTTAGGGACCAAACTGAATCAAAATCCCACTAAAGACTAACACTGTACAGAGATGGACTGAGATGCAATCAGATAAGCCCAAACTTATAAGAATATTAGAGCTTTTCTATTGTTCAGCATTCCTTTTCCTCCATCCTTCTCTTTAACTCTATGAACTCTAAACATCATGATATGAGAAATAACACACATTCTTCTTTTTTCAAAAGGGGTGTTATAAAATGTACGTGAGAAAATATTAGCAGGCTGACTCTTCCAGGAAACAATCTAGCAAAATGCACAATAAAGCAAACTTTAAGGGGAGTAACGATGTTCCGCACCTCCAGCCCTTAGCACATTTGAACTAATATGGGTCATTGCGCTGTTTCTGTAGCCACATCAGAAGTGGAATCAGCTTTATCTTGGTCAGACTTCCTGTGGATTCCAACAATGACATTCATACCGAATTAAAACCTGTCACTGCCATTAGCTACAAATTAAACTGGGCTTATCAGAGAGGTGTGATTAAGTATCTGAATCCCAAAAAGTATGATAAAAAAAAAAAAGAGGCAGTAGCAGAAAAAAAAATAGGAGAAAAAAAAACAGACAAGGCCCTTGAGGTCTGAGAAAGTAGGCAAACTTTATGTATTTTCTACGTAAGTAGCAAGCAAGATACTTAGAAAAGTAAGGTTTAAATGAAAATGTCGGGCTGCAGAGATAGTACGGTGGAGTGGGCGCTTGCCTTGCACGCAGTTGACCTGGGTTCCATCCTTGGTACGATGCATGTTTCCCCAAAACAGAGGTGATCCCTGAGTGCAGAGTCGGAAGAAACCTCTATGCATCGCTGGGTGTGGCCCATAAAACAAAACAGTCCTCGGTTGTATACAAAATCGCCATGGAAGAATGTACCCTCTGTTATTTATAGATTGTATTTTTAAATACAGACAGGGAGAAATATTTAAAACAGTTAGCAATTGCCCTCAATCTCCATCTTTCTAAAATAAGACTTGGGAATTATTTTTAAAAGGTGAAAATGAGGGATAAGAGTGCTTGCAGCTTTTGTCTATTTGGGGAGCTGCCAACACAGGCAGAGAAAAGTCAGAGGGAAGTTAAAAGACAGTCAGAAATCCCATTCTAATCTCTGAACTGGAACTTAAAACATTTTCCACGTTATTGACTTTTCACTCTGTTTTCATTTTGATGCAAAAATCTATGAGGTGAAAGAAAGCAGAAAACCACAATCTTTATTATTTGTTATCCAGGTATGTAAACACGGGGCACTTTGTGAATACACAGCCAGGACACCAGCCCTCTGGCGTGCTGTGGATCCACCATCCCCACCTTTAACATCTGGCCCTCTTCATCCGTGTGTCTAAACTCCTTGTTTTTGCTTTTTCGGCCCCCACTGGGGATGCTGGGGTGTGTGTGGGGAACTTACAGTGCCTAGAATGGAACTGGTGCTCCCCAGTAAAGCCCCCCCTCTAGCCATCTGCAATACACCCCAGTCCTGATACTACACTCTCAGGAGAGAACAAACACTAATCAATGAGGTCAAACCTTCCGCCTTTGGATCATAAGACTGAGATTACCAAGAGGTGGCAGAACGGGGACCAGAAGGAAGGAAGTGCTTGTTCAGAAGGGACGAGAGAGAGAGAGAGAGAGAGAGAGAGAGAGAGAGAGTGTTGTGGGGGAAGAGGGTCTGGTACACTTTGGGGGTGGTGAAAGGACAGTCACTTTGTATCTAAAAACATAATGTTTGCCGCTATTATTAATCATGGGACCTAAACTACAACGGAAAAAAGGCAATGAGAGTTTCAAAGAGTGATTTCAGGAACACAAGAGGAAGATGCAGGGTTTCCAGCAGATTTTTATCATCCAATGAAAGTACGCTTCTGTTTCTGGGAGTACAAGATGCCCCTGGAGTCGAAGCCATTTACTTGCACTGTTCGAGTCCCTTCACTGCTCACATTTCCCATCTTTCCAGGTTATGATACCTTGATTTAAAGCTGATTTACAGGGCCAGAGAGATAGTACAGAGGGTATGTGGCTGACCCCCGTTCAATTGTCTGCACCATATATTTTCTCCAAAACACTGCCCAAAAGTGATCCCTGAGCACAGAGCTGGGAGTAAGTTCAGAACATCACAGGGTGTGGGATCCCTCCAAAAAATTTGATTTATGATGTGAAAAATGACATTTAAATCTAGCTTTGGGTCATTAGTGAAAGGTCGCTGATCTGGTGGTGGGTTTCATGTTGGAATAATAAATGCCTGAAACTCTCTTATCAATGGCTTATAGTGGATAAAAAGAACTAAAAATTTTAAAACAAGCTCACCTAGACTCTTGCAATTAATAATCAGGAGAAAAATGTATAATTAGAGGATGGTGAGAGGTTCCTTGTCAAATCCCTGACGAAGAGCTAGAAACCATCAACATTGATTTCTGCTTTCTCTTTGCCCCCATATATCCAAATATCCAGACCTGTTTGGTGCTTCAAATTCTATTGCTGTTCATTCTCATGTGGTTAAAAATTCTTGCTTTTCAAATGGGACCTTTTTTTTTTTAAAAAAATGCACACCCAGGAGTGAGTTAGCTGTTGATCTAGAATAAACTGATCTTTTGATGATTTTTTTTTTTTTTTTTTTTTTTTTTTTACAATTCAGCCACATTTAAGCAAGGTGCGTTGTGTTTCTGCAGTTTAAACAAAGGGAGGGAAGAGGCAGGGAAGAAAGATTTCTCTCGATCAGGAGAAGAGGCAGCTGATGGAGGTAACTTGGGGTTCTGGAAGATGAGCTACCTGGGCGGCTGCTTAAAGCCAATACAGAGAAATGGAAAGAGAAGGCAAGTAAAGGCTGGAAAGATGCTTCTGGAACCGGGCTTACAATGTGGTCATCTAGCTTTGAATCACTTTGACTTCCAGTGATTCTTGCTTCTCGGCATTTCTTCAGGCCTGTTCTTTGCAATGGCACCCCCATATCTGCCTTCTTTTCTTTCTCTGCCTTTTCTACTCTCTGTATTATTCATAGTTGGCGAAGACGAACCACAGAAGTATTTCTCCTTTGCAGGTTCCTTGTGATCAGCAGGGCCAACCCGGAGAGTTTCCCGTTATAGTTTGAAACCGGACCAAGACGATAAATTGTAGCCAGACAAAAGGATACCCGAGGATGAAATTCATTGTGATTAAAGGGCAAAGCTAGCTTGGATGAGAAGAGGCCTTTTGCTTTTATGACACTCATAAATTTGACAGTCTATCTAAGATAAACAGAAAAAACACAACCCAGGTAGGTTGTATGATCTGGAAAGGTTCCCATGGGGGGAAATATGAGTGAGGGATTTGTGACAAGGCAGAGGAGAACAAATGCATCCAACTCAGATGGAAAAACAGAAACAGTGGTTTCAGAAAAAGGTAGGGGTCAGAACAAAGGACTCGCTCCTGACTTTCTTCTTGTGAGATCAGAATATGGAAGAGCTTCTCAAAGGTGCAAAGCAGAAAGGTATTCACCAAGATCTATGCTCTTTTTTGTGAGATGAAAAGAGAGTAGGGTGATATCAGAGAAATAGTTCAGTGGGTAGCATGCTTGCTTGGCATACAGCCAACCTGGTTTGATCCCTGGCACCACAAATGCCTCACGGGAGTGATCCCTAAGCACAGAGCCAGGAGTCCTGGGTGCCACTGGGGATGGCCCCAAGGCCAGAAAAAAGAAAGAAAAGGAAAGGAAAAGGAAAAGAAAGAAAATGAAAAGAACAGGAGATTCTATGAAGAACTAATGACTACAGTATCTACAATTTCTCTCAATCTCCCTGCGTCTCTCCCCCTTTCCACCTTTCTCCCCCTTCTCATTGTTTCATCTTTTTAAGAAGTAGCTTTATTAAGGTGTAACACACAAGCTACCCATTTAGAGCATACTTCCAACTTGCTG